ATGAAACTGGATCCTCATCTCTCACCTTATACAAAAGTCAACCCAAGATGGATCAAATACTTAAATCTAAGACCTGAGACCGTAAAGATTCTGGAAGATAACATTGAAAAAACCCTTCTAGACATTGGCTTAGGCAAAGACTTCATTACCAAGAACCCAAAAGCAAATCCAACAAAGATAAATAGATGGGACTTAATTAAATTAAAAAAAAACTTCTGCACAGCAAAAGCAATAATCAGCAGAATAAACAGACAACCCACAGAGTGGGAGAAAATCTTCACAATCTATACATCTGACAAAGGACTGATATCTATAATCTACAAGGAGCTCAAACAAGTCAGCAAGAAAATAACAATCCCATCAAAAGTGGGCTAAGGACATAAATAGACAGTTCTCAAAAGAAGATACACAAATGGCTAAAAAGCATACAGAAAAATAAGGCAACATCACTAATAATCAGGGAAATGCAAATCAAAACCACAAAGTAATGCCACCTCACTCCTGCAAGAGTGACCATAATCAAAAAATAAAAAAAGAATTGTTGTGGATGCAGTGAAAAGGGAACAGTTTTACACTGCTGGTGGGAATGTAAACTAGTACAGCCACTATGGAAAACAGTGTGGAAATTCCTTAAAGAACTAAAAGTAGATCTACCATTACTAGGTATCTACCAAAGGAAAATAAGTCATTATATGAAAAAGATATTTGCACACCCATGTTTGTAGTGGCACAATTTGCAATTACAAGAATATGGAACCAGCCCAAATGCCTATCAATCAATGAGTGGATAAAGAAAATGTGGTGTATATATACATATACCTTGGAATACTACTCAGCCATAAAAAGGAACAAAATGGCATTTGCAGCAACCTGGATGGAATGGGAGACCATTATTCTAAGTGAAGTAACTCAGGAATGAAAAACTAAACATCATATGTTCTCACTCATAAGTGGGAGCTAAGCTATGAGGATGCAAAGGCATAAGAATGATACATTGGACTTGGGGGAAAGAGTTGGGAGTGGTGAGGGATGAAAGATTACATATTGCATACAGTGTACACTCCTCAAGTAATGGGTGCACCAAAATCTTAGAAATCACTACTGAAGAATTTATTCATGTAACTAAACACCACCTGTTCCCCCAAAATCTGCCAAAATAAAAAAAAAAAAGACATTGCTCTTCAATTTGTGAACAACATGTAATACTTTTAGTATATCTTCAAAAATTTAGTTACTAATAGAAGTTTGATAATGTGAGGATATATATTTAGAAAATGCACGTGACAGAAAGATATTAGAAATATGTATGCGTGAATGACTAATAAAATAATTCGCAGGTTAAAAAGTTCATTCAGTGTATTGATATGTTGTTCCATGTCATCTTTCTTGTTCATTGTGAAAATCTTTGGAAATAGGAGCTCAAAAGGCGTCCATAAATTTTGTACCTCAACTGAAAAGCTTTCTGATAAAGCAAAAAATGAGATTGGGCATTTAGAACTAGTTTCTGGACACTATTAGAAACAGAGCATCAAATTCTAGTTCTCACTAAAGCTTTTATAACTGAGCCAGACATTATATTGAGCTTTATGTACAGTTTTCTGAATTTCCTCTCCGAGTTATGATTAAAGTGGGTTATATTCACTGACAAAGCTTTTGAACAGAGCCAGCTCTCTATTATCTGTCGTCGTGCAACTCCTTTGAAGGGAGTAGACAGTTTGTTTGAGGGTGAGGGAGGGGAGTGAGAAGGAAAGGGAGGAGGCAACTTGAGAGATGTCTTAGTCTGCTTGGGCTGCTGCTGCATCAAGATACCATAAATTAGGTAGTTTATAAACAATAGAAATGTGTTTATCACAGTTCTGGAGGCTGGGAAGTCTAAGATCAAGACACCGGCGTATTTGGCATATAGTGAGGACCTGCTTCCTTCGTAGACAGACTTCTCACTGTAACCTCTTGTGGTGGAAGGGGCAAGGCAAGTTTCAGGAGCCTCTTTTATGAGGGACCTAATCCCACTCATGAGGGTTCTACTCTTATGACCTAATCACCTCCCAGGGGCTCCACCTCCTAATACTGTTACTTTCAGGGTTAGGATTTCAAGGTATGAGTTTTGGGAGGAATGCAAACATTCAGATCCTAGCAAGGGATGAGCTGAGGGAGAAGGAGAGAAATTGCTGGCCTTACCTGTGAATGCTCTGACTTGGGAGGTGTCAGATTACTAGATGCTTCCTTCTGGTTTTAATCCTACCAAAAGAGCAAGCCCTCTCATGCACTAACCAAGCACATAACCAGGTTTAGGCTCTGGCCTAAGGAAAGGCTTGGGGGAAGAGAGAGATAATTCAAGCTAGGGCTAGAGGGATGGAACAAGGGGATGCAGCCTGATACAATGGCTCCTTGAATGATTCTAGGTCCTAGTACATAGAGGTATCTGGAAGGTTATGTTATCTGAATCTTGAATAGAATCAGTTACCTGAAGCCAGTGTTACCTTAGGAATTCCGTATGTGTGATTGAAGAACGCTTATTAGGCAAAGAAGTTCTATTTGTAGAAGAGAGTACTTCCATAGATGACTCCCGTTTTTGATTTGACATAAGGCTATGCCCCATTCCTCTAGGCAGACTTAAATTTCACAGAAGTTTACATTTTATGAGACCCATTGTTTTCCTCCTTAGAAGAAATACTCTAAAAGGTTGTCCTTTAATTGTATATGAAAATAATTTTTGATGATTCAAAATTTAATTGGGTGTTCAGCATTTGCCAAGACTCTATGTGTCTTTTCTCCATCTTGTAGTCCTTAGAATTGTCACTACTAACAAAAGAAAACAGCATTTTCCTTTAGTGACTCAACTTTTTAGAGGCTAGTTTGTGTGTTATTCAGAGTATTGTTTTTTCCTCAGCTTATTTCCGTGTTTGCACATGTACTTGAAGGTTTAGGGTGGAAAAGGAATGCTAATCCATTGTGTGTCTGTCACTTCTAAGTAATAGCTTTGAACCTTCTGATGAGGGAAGTGTTAATTAACTCATTATTGGGAGACATCGTTTATCTTTTCTATTCCCTTAACCTGGATCTCTTACTCCCCTTGGCTGACCCAATTGAGAGTAGATTGTGCTATTATTAATTTCAGAAACTGTGTTTTTTAAAATGTACTTTCTCTTATGAAACCTGTAATGTAAAAATGATATGTGATACAAACAGGTAAGCTGAATGACCTGGCCAAAGTCACCAGTGACTCAAATAGGTGGAGCAGAAATTTATGACACTCTTCCTCCTGCCAGACTTTCCTGACATTTTATATGTTTCCTCAGCTCATAATGGCCTCAATTTATGTCATTTAAAGATCAAATTTCAAAATACAAGTTACTGTAAGAAAGTCAGTGCCGAGCTAGTGGTCACAAACTGCAAATAATTTCTTGTTTTATACTTTCCAGAATTATGTTCCTATTCCATAATGCTGCAGTTACTAGTTCTTCTATGCATTGCAAGAATGCCACCAGTAACAGAAATATAGAAATACCTTGTTAATAAGGAACAACTAGGAGAATTAATTTGCAATTGTTATTTCTTATAAACTTACTCAATTCATTTCTGACTTCTCAGCTAGTGATTAAGAAAAAGCTCACGTGGACATGAAGGGAGAAAGCTTTGCTTTCTACTTGGGTTTCTGTGTACAAATCAGAAATTAGGTATCATGGAATAATTGTTCTAGGAAATTGAGTTGGGAGAATGGTATTATTAGCTATATTAACTAACTTGTCTAATCTTTGTGTGTAGAAACCATGAAAACAGAAAAACATCTTTTGTTCACAAAATGAGATCTTCATAGCCACTGTTTTGTAATTTTGAATCCTGTTGAACAACATTCTGTAGGTTATTAAATCAAGACTTTTGTCTTTTTTTTATTTTCAGCAAACTCAAGTGTATATGTAAGTCTTTGGAATGTTGAAGGAGTGACATTCCACAGGTTTCAGATTTTTTTTTTTTTTTTTTGCTGCCCATTGTGCTAAGGAGACCAGTAAATTAAGAATGTTTCATGATTTCTTCTTTATTTGCTTTCTTTTTGGAGCTCTGTTACAGAATAAAGAATTATTTCTTGTGTATGGGTTTTTGAATAGGAAAATCAGTTTCAAGATACTGTTCTCTGACAGTGATTAACGGTTAATTAACCAAGCTAACATTAATAGAAAAGCATTTTTATAGTGTTAAATTTCTACACGACCTGGCAGAGTGTCAGTGAACTAAATCAATAAAAAAGAGTTCATAATAATCTAGATTTAGAAGCAAAATTGTACCAAGTTTCAGTTGTCAAAGCTGCGTTTCTTTTTTATAGAGTATGGAGACATAGATATCTTTGCCGTGTCTTTCATATTAACTTAAACTGATTCTGTTTAATCTAAAATACTAGATTCTGAGGTAACTTAGTTAATTTGGGGGAGTTCTGGTGCATTGAATTTAATGTTTGCCCAGTCATTCTGCTGTGGTAATAAAGCAATCAATTATGGACTTGAATGAGTTACCAATAAAAACTAGTTGACTATTTGTTTGAGTCCACCTCACCTTTTAAATGTGGCAAAATAATATGATTTTGAAGATACCTTTAAAAATGATCAGTTTGGGAAAAACAATCAATGAAAACTATTAGTAGAGAATAGTATTCTTTGGGTAAAGTGAGATAAATTATAATGAAGAGATTCTTAAACTGGCACTTGAAACAGAACCAGATATTACTTTTCTTTAATGTGAAACTAGCTCTTTGAAGGATGGTTTTGGATGTGTAAGTGGGTCTGTGTCCACACATAAAGGATATAGACTACGGAGGACCGCTCACCATTGTGTGTGGTGCCCCTGTTTGTCTCTAGACTTGATGTCTTGGTTATTTGCTTTCTTATGGGCTTTTGGCTCTGTATAACACATTGAGGGGAGGGAATAGTGATATATGTGATTTTTGAGAATGCTAAAAAAACTGATATTGGCATCTTTTAATTGCATCTGTATTTGTTTACTTTCAGTTTGATTAATAAGCTTAAACCTGGCGTCATTAAGAAGATCAATAGACTGTCTACACCAATAGCAGGATTGGTAAGTAGTAAATTACCTTCACAATTAAATTTATTGGTCTTTGAAATGTAAAGAGGTGGCATTGGCAGGTTTTTGTATCTGCAATTACCATTGAAATTAGGTTATGGTTTTTTTGTTGAAGCGAAGTGTGTTTGGTGATGTCTTCCTTTTATCTGTAGTTCTTTCTGTTTCCCTTTTGCCCGGAGGCTTTTATTTTATTTTTTAATTGTTTGTTTTGATTTTTGTGCCCTCAAACCTCATATATTTACATTCTTGGCTTATTTCTTCCACAAATTGCATTTGCTCAGGGTCACCTTCTTCTGAAGCTCAGCCCTATGTGAGCTGTTTGCTGGCTACCACAATGGTGGCTCAGACTGCGAGATGTTCACCAGTTGTCATGTTTCTGCCACGTGATGCTTGTGCATTGCCCTCAGCCAGCACATAGATCCTAAGTGCATTTCCAAAATAGTCAAGGCCTGCTAGCTCTGTTACTTTATGTAATAGGTTTCCCACCAAAGTCCTGTGTGAGGTTGCACAAGTCTCTGTCTTCCTCTTTGCCACAGTAATATTACCCATAAAATGAGCGTGATGGTTCTGTAGATTCTTTCTAGCTTTCAAATCAGGATTTTGTGTATAAAATATACCCCACACTGTCCCAAGGTAGCTACTCAGATGGGGTAAGACATTTCAGAGGGCAATAATAGTGTGGGGCTCTGCCTGTGGAAATAATTTACAATCAAATACAAATGATGGATAATTTTTAAAATGTTAGAAATCCTTAAAAATCAACGCAATAATAGAAGTAAGTTAAATCAACTTCAGAGCACTCTGAAGTTTAAGATAGCTAATAATTGGAACATAAACACAAACCTTACTATTTTTAGACTATTCATGCTGTTTATAATGCATTCAGGAAATTTCTGTTTGACCATTCATGTGTTTACAGATGTTAAAGGCATGAGTAATTAAAGTTAGCAATACCAACATTTCTGGATTTGCAGAAGTTACAAAAATGTCATTAAATTCTTGATAGGGGTGTTGGTTGCAGAGTGTTCCTCAGAAAATATCTGTCTAGGAGAGAAGGAATGAAAAATTGTTAATAATTTTATTTCAAAATAAAATATACATAAAATTCCCAGAGCAGCTGGGCTCAAATATTAATTCCTTCCTACCTACCAAGTTGCCTCCATTCTATATCTATCATTAATAGGCAGCTGACCTAATAATTTTATTGGTTTCAAATTTGATTAGGTTAAAAATATTATGTGTATGTATGTGTGTGTGTGTATATATATATGTGTATACATACACATAGAGCTGTACAATTTAAATATTTCTACTCAACTTTTATCCTGTACTTTTCTAAAAACATTCTCATGCCATAACTCTATTTGTCCCACCCCACTTACCCCCTCTTCAGGAGGAGAGGGGAGGTTTGTAGGACCCTGGAGCTTGTGAGCCCTTTCCAGAAATGGGACAACACCTAAGATTGGTGGTTGGGGGGCGAAAGTGTGAGAAAGCCGGGGAGCAGGGCGACGTAGCCGGACCACACACACACACAAAATTTTCTACTGGTAATACAGTGAGTCAGAAGAGGTTTGTTATTTAAGGAATAAATGAAAAAAATTTAGTTTTTTGAAGTCTTTTAAAAATTTTTTTTGAGATGCAGTCTTACTCTGTCGCTAAGCTGGAGTGCCATGGGCGGATCTCGGCTCCCTGAAAACTCCGCCTTCTGAGTTCAAGCAATTCCCCTGCTTCAGCCTCCCAGTAGCTGGACTACAGGCTCATGCACCACGCCCAGCTAATTTTTTTATTTTTTTTTTCATTAATCTTTGTTGCATTTCTAGTCACTATTTTATTTAGTTATGCGTCTGATCTTCATTACTTCTTTTCTTTTTTTTTTTCATTATACTTTAAGTTCGTAGGTACATGTGCACAATGTGCAGTTTCTTACATATGATACATGTGCCATGTTGGTTGTGCTGCACCCATTAAGCTCCGTCATTGACATTAGGTATATCTCCTAATGCTATCGTCTCGCCCACCCCTCCCCACAATCAGTATCCCGTGTAAGGTGTGTGATGCTCTCCTTCCTGTTGCCAACGTGATCTCATTGTCTCACTTCCACGCTTTGAGTGGAGAACATGCGGTATTTGGTTTTCTGTTCTTGTTGATGATAAGGTCGCCTGAGCATGTTGTAGGTTTTCCAGGCTGGCATCATGTCCCTACGAAAGGGACACGAATTCATCCTTTTTTATGGCTGCATAGTTTTCGCATTTGGTGTATATGTGCCACAATTTTCTTAATCCAGTCTGTCACTTGATGGGACATTTGGGTTGATTCCAAAGTCTTGCTTATTTGTGAATTAGTGCGCGCAGTAACATAGCGTGTGCCATGCTGTCTTTATAGCAGCATGACTTATAATCCTTTGGTTATCCCCAGTAATGGATGACTGGGTCCAAATGGTCTTGTCTAGTTCTAGATCCTTGAGGAATCGCACACTGTTTGCACAATGGTTGAACTGTTTACAGTCCCACCAACAGCTGTAAAAGTGTTCCTTGTTTCTCCACATCCTCTCCCATGGCACCTTAGTTGGTTCCTGATTTTTTAATGATGCCATTGCTAAGTGGTGTTGAGATGGTTATTCTCATTGTGATTTTTGATTACATTTCTCGATGCGAGTGATGATGGCAGCATTTTTTTCAATGTTGTCTGTTGGCCTGTATGATTATCTTCTGTTTGAGAAGTGGTCCTGTTCTTCCTTTGCCCACTTTTGATGGGGTTGTTGTGTTTTTTTTTCCGATAATTTGATGGAGTCTTTAAGATTCTGGATATTTAGTCCTTTTTCTTGAGATAGATGCTAATATAAAAATTTTGTTGTCTTCCCCCTATTTCCTGCTAGGTTGCCTGTTCACTCTGAGATGGGTATTGGTCTTGTTTGCTGTGCAGAAGCTCTTTCAGTTAATTAGATCCCATTGTCAATTCCGGCTTTCATGCCGTTGCTTTTGGTGTATTAGACATGAAGTCCCTTGCCATGCCTATGTTCCTGAATGGTATTACCTAGGTTTTTTTCTAGGGTTTTTATGGTTTTTGGGTCTAACATTAAGTCTCTAATTCCCATCTGAATTAATCGTATAAGGAGTAAGGAAAAGATCCAGTTTCAGCTTTTACTTATGGCTAGCCAATTTTCCCCAGCACTATTTACTAAATAGGGACATCCTTTCCCCATTTCCTTGTTTTTCTCAGGTTTGTCAAAGATCAAATGGCTGTAGATGTGTGGTATTATTTTCTTAGGGCTCTGTTCTGTCCATTGGTCTTATATCTCGTTTTTGGTACCAGTACCATGCTGTTTTGGTTTACTGTAGCCTTGTAGTATAGTTTGAAGTCAGGTAGCGTGATGCCTCCAGCTTTTGTTCTTTGACTTGGATTGTCTTGGCAATGCGGCTCTTTTTTGGGTCCATATGAACTTTGAAAGGCAGTTTTTCCAATTCTGTGAAGAAAGTCATTGGTAGCTTGATGGGGATGGCATTGAATCTAATAAATAACCTTGGGCAGTATGGCCATTTTCACAATATTGATTCTTCTATCCATGAGCATGGTATGTTCTTCCATTTGTTGGGTTTTATTTCACTGAGCAGTGGTTTTGTAGTTCTCCTTGAAGAGGTGCTTTACATCCATTGTAAGTTGGATTCCTAGGGTATTTTATTTCTCTTCAAAGCAATTGTGAATTGGGAGTCCATTCATGATTTGGCTGTCTGTTTGTCTGTTACTGGTGTATAAGAATGCTTGTGATTTTTGCACATTGATTTTGTATCCTGAGACTTTGCTCAAGTTGCTTATTTTTTCTTTTAGTAGAGATGGGGTTTCACCACATTGGACTGGATGGTCTCTTATCTCCTGACCTTGGGATTTGCCCGCCCCGGCCTCCCAAAGTGCTGGAATTACAGGCGTGAGCCACTGCACTTTCTAGGAGGAAATATTCAGTTTAATAAAACAAATAAGCTTTATATAAAAATGACTTATAAAATATCTTATTTTTATATAATATACTTTTAATAGTAAGTTTCAATAGTATTGAAAATATTTTTTCAAATGGTTTTAATTAAATAGCTTATTGCTTTAATTTAAAATTGTCATTTCTTGGATCAATTACATGCATTTTAAAGCAAATTAGACTTTGATCTCAAACACCCTTCATATTTGGAATGCTCGAATTGTAGTGGTTTGTTGTTGTTGGCCAGTGGAGGTTTTATTCAATTTTCTGATTGTATGATTACATGAAAGCACAAGTGTATTTTATTTTTAAATTCAAGGATCTCTCCAAGTGTTTCTATTTCAAGCACCAGAAATTCTATCTAGTTTGGATTTTATCTTTAGAAGTTAAAGTGGACTGTATTTCTGGTGTATCAAATAGGAATATTTTTCGAATACAGGACACTGAGCATTTTCGATTGGCTGTAGGAGCATAAAAGTGACCACAGCTGCAGAACTGGGCTAAGCCCAATTGGTTTGAAGTTGTCATCATGCCTCACTTGACTCCTTCTGATGCCTGTTTGTCAGGATGGTTATAGTAAAACTTTTCAAAGCCTTAATTCCAAGTATGAATTAGGGCTCCAGCAGATGCCTGGGAAAGGCTGTTATGAGGACTAAATATACAGGTAGTCTGACATGCAGAAAGTCAAAGAATGTTCATTTTTTAAATAAATAATTGAGTGCTTACTAGGTTGAAGATTTTTCTAGTTTATAGGTGTGTATCAAAGGAACAATGAAGTCCCAAACCATGACCTCAAAGAGTTTACATTCTAGTTAAAGAGGGGAGACAAGGCAAATAAATTAGCAAACAAGCAAGAAAGCACCACATAATAAATGTGCCACAGAGCATTACAGTGGACTGTGACATTTGTTGCATGTCCATGAGCAGTTGTAGGGGAACTATGAAGACTGACCTCTAAGGATTCCTTGAGGAGGAGGATGTTAGAAGACTTCGTTGACACTTCCAGAAGAATAAATAATCTGAACCA